ACCCTCAACTCGCCTCGTTCACTCGTACGTCCGCCCCCCCCCCCCCTCCTCCTCCCCCCCCTCCCTCCCCTCCCCCCCCTCCCCCCCCCTCCCCTGCCTCCCTCACCCCCCTCACCCCCACCCCCCTCCCCTGACCCACAGTTTGTCGGCTTTGCCCTCGTCGGCCTCGGCATCTACGCCAACTACAAGTACTCGTGGGGAGAAGAGCTCATCGGGTTCCCGCTACCATGGGCGGTGGTTGCTGTCGGCATTGTCATGCTCCTGCTCAACACGTGCGGGTTTGTGGGGACAAACAAGCGCAAGCGGACGTGTCTGCTGCTCTACTTTACCTTCCTCTTCTTCATCATGGCCGCAGAGGTCTCCATCTCGATCCTGGCCCTCTCGTACAAGCGCAACTTGGAGGAGCAGCTGTACCAGGGCTGGCTTGATGCTTCGCCCGAGACAAAGGACAAGGTTCAGCGCAAGTTCAACTGCTGCGGCTTCTACACTGTCAACGACAACCCGGGACCGTCGTGCACCAACCCGCCGGCTGGCACAGACTCGTGCGCCGTCGCCATCACAAAGTGGGTTGAGGAGAAGCTCGTCTTTGTCTACATCGTCGGCTTTCTCTCGGCTGCCGTCCAGGTCTTTTGCCTCGTCGCCGCTCTCGTCCTCACCAAGCGCATCGACGATTACAAGAAGGGTCTCGAGGCTTCGTTCTCCTACTACTACTATGATGACAACGACCAGCTCATTGTTGACGGCCCAGCCGGCCGCAACATGATCTAATCCTCTCTCCTTCTCCCCTGCATTCTTAAACCCATCTGCACATCTCACGACTACGCGTGGAGCCAGTTGGCAGCGTTTCATTGCCGCCGGTCGCGGGCTGCCACCCTACACATCCAGGTCATCGTCTGCATCCACGCCGCCATCTCCGCCTCCTCTCCCCGCCATCCCGCCCTCGAACGGCAGCTTCAGTGCCGCCCGCGCCGCCTCTTCGGCTTCGCTCCGCCCAAGACGGAACGTGGCGTCGAGCACTTCCGTGGCATCGAGCCCACCCTCAACGTCGCCATAGTCGTCAAAGCTGAGTGTGCGCGTCGGCTGCGAACCGTCATCCATCTCGTCATCCGAGTCGGACCGCGCCTCTACCGCGACGCTGCTGCTCACCTCTGCCTCGGCGTACGCGTCGGCCTGACTCACCGCCACGGCGTCCCAGGACCCAGAGCCCGGCAGCTCTTCCACGATGTCCACCAGCCCGCCGCCGCTCGCACCGCTGCGGCCACTGATCTTCACCACAACTCGCCTGTCGCAACTTGTGATGCGCGCCACACACACCGCCGTGGCCAGCACGCTCGCTGGTGGCTCGGCATATCCAACTGCGATGCAAGCGCCGCCGCCTGCCGCCGCCATCGCCCGCCTCAGCAAGTCCGCCAGCTCGTACGGCTCCGTCACCCGCACTGCCAGCTCATCCACGGCCTCGATCCACAAAATGCGTCTGGCTCCCCCGCCACTCTCGGCTGCGGCCGTGCCTACCGCGGCCACCAGCGCCTCGGCGTACACCGATGGCTCAGCAAAGGCTACGCCGGCCGGCACCACACATCGCGCGCCGACCGCCGCCGCCGCCCGCCGCGCCGACAGTGGAAGCGACGGAACGACTGCCAGGCATCCTTCAGTGCCTCCTGCCCCGCCCTGCCCCGCCACGCCCAGCAACAGCTTCCGCACCGCTTGCCGTCCTGCCAGCGCATCGCTCCCGGCTCCCAGCCCGCCGTCTACCACCACCAGAGTCAGACCCGGTGGCGGCGTCAGCAGCGCCGACATACTCTCGCCAAAACCCATACCCGCGCTCATGATTATGTGTATGCTTGTGCGTGTGTTTGTATGCCTGCTATCTTGTTCTTGCCCTCTCGGCACCGGCCTGTGTCCGCGTTGGCGACGACAAGTGCTCGCCGGTCCGGGTCATGGCGCTAGCCTGCTTTACACAAGGTACGACACACGGCTGAGACTGCATGACGCTAGATGTCGCGCGACATGATAGATTCCGAGCCGCCGGTGGCCACAAGCGCGGTGGCCGGAAGGCCCTCAGTCAAGACCCGCATCGACTCGAGGTAGGCTGTGGCGATGTCGGCCTCGGATGCCTCGCTGTCAGGCGAGAGCGAGGGGAGCGAGGGGAGCGGAGCAAAGCAGAGGTAGGTGCTCCCACCGTCGTTGGCGCCCTTGGAGTGGGCCCGCATCGCGGCGTTGAGGAGGGCGAGGACGTCAAACGAGACGAGTGCGTCCTCGGCGACCATCCGCTTCCGCGCGGCGGCGGCGGCGTCCGAGGTTTGGACGACGTCGGTGGGATCAAAGACAACAATGTTGATCGAGTGGATGTCGATGCGAGACTCGGCAACCAGCTCGGCGACCCGCGCCCGCTCTGCGGCGACGTCGGTCCCGGGCTCGACCACGCGCATAACCCGGATGGCGGTGTGCTTCTTGGCCACGAGGATGTGCGCCATCTGGAGCATGAAGAGCGACTCTTGTGCAAACGAGGCCCACACTTCGGACGCATGTGGCTGGGTCATCCACACGTCGATGGTCATGGTCTTGCTTGCCACCGCAGCCTCGTCGAGGAGGTCGAAGTTCTGAGCCACCACCATGTTCTTGTCCTCACACAGGATGTCGTGGAGCATGCCGACGTACTCGGCCTCGCTCTCCACGGCGGTGTTGAGGAACGACGACTCCCACCGCTCGTGCGCCAGCGCCACCATCGAGCGGCAGTAGAAGGCGGTCAGCGAGCGGCCGGCGCTACCTGCGCCGCCGATGGTGCCTGCGGCAAAACCCTCCTCGCGCGCGCTCTCGTCGTACATGGGGAGCACAACGGTGTTGGGAGTCATGGCTCCGAGCCCGGACATTTGCAGCAGGGACTGGTAGCCCAGCCGCGCACTCGGCGCGTTGCAGATCTGCGGGAAGGCCTTGATGCCGGTCTGGTCGATAAACCTCAGCCAAGCACCCTTGATCTCCTTCACCTCGGCCGCGTGCCGGGCGTACTCGCCGAGCACCACCGTGCCGAGGATGTACACGCCACCCTTCTTGAGCGAGTTGCAGAACGAGACGAGCGGCCCGTCGAGATTGTCGACGTAGAGCAGGAGCGACGGCCGCCACAGCTTTCCGTGCGTAGTCCGGGTGTCGAGCTGAAGCAAGTACTTGCGGACCTGGTGGAAGATGATGGCCTGGCGGACATCGCCCCACTCAGTCTGCGGCGCCTTATACATGAGGTACACCAGGATGAGGATCATGGCGCCGATCGACGCCGTCGCGTACCAGTAGTTGAGGTAGAACATGACAATGACGTTGAGCACACCGCCAAAGAGCGACAGGTGCCACGAGTAGTACTTGAACCGAGGCCGAAAGTTGATTGTGCCCGAGACCGCCATGAGGAAGCACGAGATGTTGATAAAGGCGTATGAGAGGCAGAAAAAGGCTGTGATGATGGGCGCCACCGCGTCGAGGTCGCCGATGAAAAGCCCGCACTGCGCCACAAACCAGGTGAACAGCACTGCACGCCGTGGCTCGTTGCCCTTGCGCGAGCCCTTGGAAAAGAACTTGATGGGGAAGAGCTCGTCGACGGCAATGGCCTGGAGCAGCCGCGAGCCGCCAAACAGCGCGCCGAGTGCAGAGGACGCCGTCGAGATGATCACGCCCACTACCACAATATACTGCGAGAAGCACGCGTCCTGGAACGCGTTGGTGTTCTCCTGCAGCGTCTTTCGCGGAAACGCCGCCCCAAACTGGATCACCATCGTCAGGTAGATGATGATCGACGTGGCCACCGCCCCAAGTGTGCCTAGCGGAATTGACTTGGCCGGATCCTTGAGGTCGCCTGAGAGGTTGGCGCCCTCAGAGAGGCCCGAGGCTGATGCCCAGATGAGCGACATGACCGTCGCAAAGTTGCACATGCCGCCGCACCCCGAGTCGTACGTGTAGTCCGGCTTGAGGTTTGCCCGCAGCGTCGTCGTCGACGGGCCCAGATACTCGCCACCGTGCTCGAGCGTTTTCTTGCCCGGCATCATCATAGCAACCATGCCCACCGCAATCGAGCCAAACTGCACCATGAACAGCAGCACGTTGATCTTGGTGAAGAACTCGGCTCCGCCTAGCGCCACCAGCAGGATGACAAACAGCCCGATCGTGCCGAGCATCAGCAGCAGGTGCGGCTGCGTCGAGTCCTTGAAGAATGTGTCCTTCACCGCAGTTGCCAGGCCGATGACGTAGAACGTGGCGCCCACCGCGTACGCCGAGTAGAACAAAGTCCCCACAGCTCCGCCCAGTTCCGGCCCCAGGTTTCGCGAAATCATGTAGTACGGACCACCACCACGCATGTTGCCGTTCGACACAATCGCTGACAGCGACAGCACCGTCAGGATCGCCTGCGTCTCGGCGATGACGAAGAACGCCAACCTGTAAGCCAATCACCAAGAACCAGCACATCGCCCAGTCGAGAAAGAGAGCACCGCCGTGTAGAGCACAGCAGATAGAGCCAACAGCCCACACATTGCACACCGTAAGTCAAGCTCCCCCCCTCGTCTCGCCCCCTCCCCCCCAGTCACACGTCCCTGCCACCGATCCTTCACCTGTGGCATCAACAACAGGGGACGACGGCGAGCTGGTGGCCGAGCCTGAGATGGGGGTAGCGGCGGATGAGTGAGTCAAGGACTAGGCTCTGGTGGGGGAGTCGGTAGTACTGCTACCAACGAGAGCCGTGAAGTGAAGAGCGATGGATTGGACGAGCGGGATGAGCTGGTGGAGCTGCTTCGAGCGGACAGGTTTGATCGAGACTACCAGGATGGGGGAGGAGGACAGTCGAGTCATCTCGCCAGCCGATCTTCGGACTCCTACCTTCATCCGCGCTCGCTGCCGTCGATCCGCTCTGATG